CACCCCTGCGAACAGCTCAGGTGACCCTGACATTTCTCTCCCCCACACTGGGTAGTCGGGAGCCAAGGCCACCTCCCAGAGCATGGGGTCCCATCCCCCTCTCTCTGCCCTGTGTATATAGGAGAGGCAGGCACTTCTGTGGGTCTCTGGGCAGTTGAAGGGAAGGCTTGGGTGAGGAGACGGAGGATGAGAAATGGATTTTCAGGGCAGGGGGAGTGCAGCTCGGGGCTGGATTGAAGCCCTTGAGGTTTGGGAGTCCCAGATACTCAGCTTGTGACAACTGCTCCTGAACCAGAGGACAGGGCCTCTTGGCAGGCATGTTCAGCACCCATCTACGAATTAACTTTCAAGATGTGACATCAGTATATGCCCCTACCCCAAATAGCCATTCTGCCATGGGTCTAAGAGGGACCATGGCTTTTAATGTATTTTCTCACCCAGCAGCAGCCCCAGGTCCTTATGAGGCACTTGTGCCTAGAGAAGGAAAATTTAATTTGGAATGTGAAAACAAAGCCCTTTTCAACTCCTCCAAGTCTGTGGATGCCATGGGATTCACGGCTGTGGGGATTTGGGCTAGGGGGGAGGGCAGCGGGGACAATCTAGCACTAAGGTGGCCTGACTCTGCCCCTATAACCACCGTTAGTGCCCTACACTGGGTGTATGCTCACAAGGGCTTCTAGCGGTCTCCAGGTGGAAGCTGGGGTCACAGAGAAGAATGGGGCTTTGTTCCATCCCTAAAGGGGAGTTCTGAGTTCAGACACTCCAAGGGGTGGAGAGGTCAAAGGTCAACAGTCTAGACAGTGGTGGTAAAAAAGAGGCCAGTATGGTGGGCGGATTTCCCTGAGCAGCTCCCCTCCCCTGCTTGGTTACCGCCCAGGGGTCACAGGCATCCTGGTGTACACACACCCCAGCTGGCCCAGCTTCTAGGCAGAAACTTCTAAGATAACAACAAGGCATCTCAAATCTACTTTTCCAGCTGTCCTCCTGAGCAAGCAGTTTCTATTATAGAAGTTTCCATGCCAGCAACAAGCGGGGAAGCTGAAAACTATTTTCCTTGCTGAAACTATTGCAATCTAATAATTTCCCCCAAAGACCTGACACCAATTTGCCCCTGGCCTGGCCCCGTCCCTCCTAGTGGCCAGGGGACCTTGACTGTTCCTTGACTGAGCCAGGTGGGCCAGGTGGCACCTAGCCCAGAACACCAACTCAAATTTCTCCTTCTTCCCACCTTTCCTTCTATCTACTCCATCTTCTTTCTTTTTCAAGCTACATACTCATATACATACCACTACCATAGGGGCTATGGTATAGTGCATACCACTACATGCAGAGGCTCTAGCATCTTAAAGAGATGCTGTTTCCAGATACCCAGATCACTCTCCCTGTCCCCATTCCCCAACACTACCCACAGGGGTTCACCAGGGAGAGGCCCCCTCAAATTTCCTACAAGAACCTCCTACCCTCCCAGCATCACTTCTTACCATCTCCCCACCAGCCTTCACACCGTATCCCTCAGCCTATCTTTCCATCATTAACACTGCCGCACTCGCTTTTCCTGGCCTCGCTCTCCTCCATGCCTGACAAGCTGCACCCATTTCAGAGACCCATCCTTTTGTCCCTTTCTGTGTGCCTTCCACCCTGATTTGAGACTCTGAAAATGACAAGGGACAAGGAGTAGGACCTGGTTCCCCCTTCTCACGAAAGGACATTTTAGTCTGAGACCCAACAAATGCAGACACATACATCATAGACTGAATAGATGAGTTTGCCCACAAGAAAAAGATTAAAAATTTAAAAACAGGAGAAAAAAAAACTGGCAGGGAGTGAGTGAAATGTTTAATGGCTATCTGATTAAATAAAAATGAGCTAAATGCTCTGCATCATGGACAAAGACAGGATTCCGGCTCAACTTGAAGAAATCTAAAACCAATGCTGGAACACAAAAATGACACACACACACTCAACAACGACCAGACAATAAGTTACATCTCTAAGCTGCTAAATCACAGGGTGCTTCAAACAGAGAGGCGAAATGAGGACAAAAGAAAGATGAAAATGTGTAATTTGGGGAGGGTGTGTCTGGGTTCCAGAGGGTGCCCAGCTAAGCTTGGACCTGGCTCACCTCCAGTCACCACCCCCTTCCTCATCTTGTTTAGATTCACTTCCTCTTCAGAGCCCCATAGATCAGACCCTTGGGGAACAGAGCTAGATGGAATGTGTTGTTCTGAATAAGACCTGTGGGGGACCCGCCTGGCCTTGAGCCCCCTACATTCAAAAGAGCCACAACTTCTGCTCGTTCTGCTCACAGAAGCCAGCTAAGGGAGCAGATGCAATGACATCTCATACACCAGATTTCTTAGGAGACTGCAAACTCAGACTGAGGACATGGAGGGGGTGTTTCTGGCAGAGGGAGAGCTGGCATGGATACGGGAGCAGAAGCCCAATCATTTCAACCTGCCAGGCATAGTTCACGCCCACTGCCAAGCATCCACCCCAAGTTACCCACCTGTGCCCACTCTCTCCCTCCAGAGAAAGGCCAGGACTCAGAAAATGCCTTTAACTCATAAACCTATCAGTCTGGTTCCCAAGTGATGCAGAAGCACAGCAGAGGCAGGAACCACCCTGGGCCTTGGAACTGGAAGGAAAGAGGGTGAATGCTTAAGAAAACAGAACGAAACACAAATCTCAACTGTTTTAAAAAGAACTGCATGCTGGGAAACACCAATGTGCTCCAAAACAGCATCAGATTCCAGCACACTTCACACTTGGGGAAATAAGAAAACTGCATGTTCTCCAAAAGATAGAAGAATACTTCCAAAACATGTATTTTTCTCTATTGGCTTCATGGTTGCTGCTACCACCTTGTCCCTCTGATGGTGTCAAGGTCCAGCTGAATTTAGTTACCTCCTGGGGGACATCACTCTAGTCCCTGGCTTGGTAAGTTCAAAGTCACCAGAGAATGAAATAAAAATTTACTCCCGAGTCTGAGTGTGTCTCCCAAAACTGTCTACACGAAGGTCGCTGGCTGCCCAACTGCCCTCCTGCTCAAAAGTGCCAGCACATATGGAGCTCAGCAAACTCTCGCCCCTGGGCCCTGATTTGGGGCCCCTCTTAAGGAGAATAAGAAGCTGGTCCCCAGCACTAAGGCTGAGAAAATCCAGACCAGATGTGGGGTGGATTTGCAGCTGCTACAAATTTTTACATATTAAAAAAAAGTCATGTGCATGTCAAAATGACAAGGCCTGCTTTCCCTTCGGCAGTTCTGTTCCAAAACTCATGGCTAGGGTGTTGAAAGGGTCAGCCAACCCTTTCAATCTCCTGGGGCAGCAGACCCTCCCCTCTCCCATGGTCTGGCCATGGGCCCTGCCCCATCCTGGCAAGGGGACCTCAATGTCAGTTCCCAAACAGAGATACAGGTCCGATTTGGGGGAGGGGGCAGGAGGCAGAAGGGGCCGCATCCCAGGAAAAAGACACTTTTGTTGTTGGCTAAAGCCTGTGTTTTAACCAAAGGGAATATAAATTGCTCTGTGCCCAAACTAGAACTATTGTTTTAAAAAAGAGAATAATAATTTTAAAAAACCCACACGATATCCCGTGGCAGCCCTTTCTGGGCTGTCTGGGTGTTGGGACACGGATCAGGGCAAAGACTCTTTGAGAGGCTTTTAAGTTTGGGAAAAGCAGTCACAGGATGGAGGGAACTCTGGAATCTCTTCACCAGAGACCTAGAAGAGCAGGTAAACAGGTTGCCCCAGACGTGAGAGCAGAGAAAGCGGAGATACACCCGATCGGTGTTCTCTGAGGAAGTCTGCACCCACGGGCCTCCCAGCCATCATGGCTGTGCCCTCAGATGCAAAGAAAAATAGAGAAAAAAAAATCTTCAGCTGCCTCCTTCAAATTGATCAGCACTTTTGCAGAGAAAGAGAGAGAGGAGGTGTGTAAATCGAAATATTTGATCCAAATCAGATCTTCAGCCGAAGGCTTTGTCTCTTCCTGGGGTCCCTGGAGGGATGAGGTCTTGGGAGGCCTGAGGCACTCTCAGTGTTTGTGGCGACAGTTGATTTTGTCTTCTGACTGCTCCAGGACACCCAGCATCTCCTCGATGATGGCCCGCAGTGCCCTGCCCAGCTGGTCTGCGTTGTATGGCTTGCCCAGCGGGGGCACATGGACAAAGGCTGAGCGGCCATGACTCTGGTACAGAGAGGTGTAGTAGGTGAAGTCGCAGAGGTACCTAAGCCGCAGGGTGTGGGGGGCAGGAGGGAGACCAAAACAGGGTCAGACTAACAGGACAGCTTTTATCCAAACCCCCTGTAAAATCCCCAACCTCACCAAAAGTCCACAAGATGGAATACTGCTTCTCCTTCCCTAAGCTGGCAAGAATGATAATTCCTAATGCTGGTGTGTATGAGGGGAAGTAGGGAGTGTGAGATGCTGCTAGCAGGGTTGCAAATTGCCCCAGGGGAAGACAATGTAGCAGGCTCGCAAAATTCTAAATGCTGTCTTTATAATCTGGTATTTCCAGTTTTTAGAATCTACCTTCAGGAGCCATCTGCATGAGGGCACAAGAAAGATAAACAAGGTGTTCACTGCAATGTTATTTATCAAAGCAGAAGAACAGGAAGCAACTTACTAGGGTCTGAATGTTTGTGTCTCTCTCTCAACACACATACACACAATTCAGGTGTTGAAGCCTTAAACTCCCGAAGTGATGGTATTAAGAGGTGGGGCCTCTGGGAAGTGAGAGCCCTCATCAAAAGTGTTAGTGCCCTTAAAAAGAGATCCCAGAATGCTCTCACTCCTCCTACCACGTGAAATCATGAGAAGCAGGCTGTGCGGAGGAGGGTCTTCATCAGAACACTGCCACGCTGACACCTTGATCTTGAACTTCCCAGCCTCCAAAACTGTGAGCAACACACTTCTGCTGCTTAAGCTACCCTGTCTATAGTATTTTGTCATGGCAGCCTGAAAACGTAAATACACTATCTCACTAGTGGAGTCAGAAGGGGCCGCTCCCAGGAAAAAGACACTTTTGTTGTTGGCTAAAGCCTGTGTTTTAACCAAAGGGAATATAAATTGCTCTGTGCCCAAACTAGAACTATTGTTTTAAAAAAGAGAATAATAATTTTAAAAAACCCACACGATATCCCGTGGCAGCCCTTTCTGGGCTGTCTGGGTGTTGGGACACGGATCAGGGCAAAGACTCTTTGAGAGGCTTTTAAGTTTGGGAAAAGCAGTCACAGGATGGAGGGAACTCTGGAATCTCTTCACCAGAGACCTAGAAGAGCAGGTAAACAGGTTGCCCCAGACGTGAGAGCAGAGAAAGCGGAGATACACCCGATCGGTGTTCTCTGAGGAAGTCTGCACCCACGGGCCTCCCAGCCATCATGGCTGTGCCCTCAGATGCAAAGAAAAATAGAGAAAAAAAAATCTTCAGCTGCCTCCTTCAAATTGATCAGCACTTTTGCAGAGAAAGAGAGAGAGGAGGTGTGTAAATCGAAATATTTGATCCAAATCAGATCTTCAGCCGAAGGCTTTGTCTCTTCCTGGGGTCCCTGGAGGGATGAGGTCTTGGGAGGCCTGAGGCACTCTCAGTGTTTGTGGCGACAGTTGATTTTGTCTTCTGACTGCTCCAGGACACCCAGCATCTCCTCGATGATGGCCCGCAGTGCCCTGCCCAGCTGGTCTGCGTTGTATGGCTTGCCCAGCGGGGGCACATGGACAAAGGCTGAGCGGCCATGACTCTGGTACAGAGAGGTGTAGTAGGTGAAGTCGCAGAGGTACCTAAGCCGCAGGGTGTGGGGGGCAGGAGGGAGACCAAAACAGGGTCAGACTAACAGGACAGCTTTTATCCAAACCCCCTGTAAAATCCCCAACCTCACCAAAAGTCCACAAGATGGAATACTGCTTCTCCTTCCCTAAGCTGGCAAGAATGATAATTCCTAATGCTGGTGTGTATGAGGGGAAGTAGGGAGTGTGAGATGCTGCTAGCAGGGTTGCAAATTGCCCCAGGGGAAGACAATGTAGCAGGCTCGCAAAATTCTAAATGCTGTCTTTATAATCTGGTATTTCCAGTTTTTAGAATCTACCTTCAGGAGCCATCTGCATGAGGGCACAAGAAAGATAAACAAGGTGTTCACTGCAATGTTATTTATCAAAGCAGAAGAACAGGAAGCAACTTACTAGGGTCTGAATGTTTGTGTCTCTCTCTCAACACACATACACACAATTCAGGTGTTGAAGCCTTAAACTCCCAAAGTGATGGTATTAAGAGGTGGGGCCTCTGGGAAGTGAGAGCCCTCATCAAAAGTGTTAGTGCCCTTAAAAAGAGATCCCAGAATGCTCTCACTCCTCCTACCACGTGAAATCATGAGAAGCAGGCTGTGCGGAGGAGGGTCTTCATCAGAACACTGCCACGCTGACACCTTGATCTTGAACTTCCCAGCCTCCAAAACTGTGAGCAACACACTTCTGTTGTTTATAAGCCCCACCACCACCCCATATTTTGTTATGGCAGTTCAAATAGACCATGTATGATACAACCTAAGGGTCCACTGACAAAGGAGTGGCTTAATAAACTCTGGTTTATTAAACACAGTGCAATACTATGCAGCCATTTACAAGCATGTGATAAATCCAAAGAAAGACAGAGAACTCACTAAGACCCTGTCACATGTTCACAAGTGAAAGTGAGGAAGGAAACACTTAGGAAAATGCACGTCATGTAACCCCATCCACATAAAAGCAAAGCAAAACAGGACAAAATCCTAAAGTAGCACATCAAGTATTCTGTACATGTATGGAAACATGTGGGTGATAGAAAAGTTTCAGAATTTAAGTCTGATTTAACAGAGGGATCGCTAGGGGGAAGGAGGGAGGGCAAGAGAATTTTTTTTACAGTGGGAATATATGAAAACATATTCCAGAATTATTTGGCAACTTAAAACTAGTTTTAAAAAGAGACTGATGATAAATTCAGTGACTCCTACTTTTAGTCAGTCAACTGAATTTGCCACCTGCTGCCTTCGGGCTGGAGAAGTATAAGAAGTATTGATAAATCAAGGTACCTGGTGCTGAGAGGAGTAGAACAGAGGACACAACTTGGTCTGGGAGGTTAGGGAGGCCTCTCTAAGAAGGTGACATGACATGTGGGAGCTAAGACCTGAAAGAGGCCTTATCAGAGGGAGGTGAGTCTGGGCAGAGGCCACAGGTTGAGCAAAGACCCTGAGGCTAGAGTGAGTTTGGTGTGTTTGAGGAACAGGAGGAGGCTCATTTGTGAGTCTGAAATTCAGACTCTAGAAAGTGGAAGCAGATGAGGGTGGAGAGGTGGGCGGGAACCAGACCACACAACACCTGAGGATGGTGGGGAGACGGTGGGATTTTATTCTAGGTGCAGTGAGAACTGTAGAAGCGATTAAACAAGAAACAGTCACCGTCTGACTTAAATTTATAAAAGACTTATAAGTCTCCCTCCCAAATTCATGTTCACCCAGAATCTCAGAATGAGATCTTATTTGGATATGGGGTTTGGCAGATGTAATTATTCAAGATAGGGACATATTAAGACTATGGTAGGTCCTAAATCCAATGACTGGAGTCCTTATAAGAAGGCCATATGAAGACAGAGGAAAAGATTAGGTGATGTATCTACAAGCCAAGGAATGCCAAGAGTTGCTGGCAGCCACCATAAGCCTAGAGAGAGGCAGGGAACATATAGATTCCCCCTTAGAACATCAAGAAGGAAAGAACCTTGCCTACACTTTGATTCTGGACTTCTAGGCTCCAGAACTGGGAGAGAAGAAATTTCTGTTGTCCTAAGCCACCAGGTTTATGGTTGTGTTATAGCAACCACAGGAAATATTAGAGAAATAGACTGCTCGGAGGAGAAGGGCTGTTGGGATTGGGTAGAGGTGACAGGAGGAACACCAGGGAGTTGGCTGGGGCAGCATCCAGATGGGAGATGGCAGAGGCCAGGGGGTGGAAAAATGGGCAGCTCCATAAGTAATGAATTCCAGAAGCAGAATCACTAGGACCTATTAAGTGTATATACTTAGCTCTGTGGCTCATGCATGGTGAGTGCTCAGCCCACAGAGGCCAAAGTCAACACATTTGGCTTGTTTAACACCAGCCTAGACTGGTAGAGGAGGGAACCCCCTACTCATACCCACCCCGTGGTGCCCTACCTGCCGGCATCTTGCGAGATGGTCACTGACACATCCAGGCCCAGTGTAGTGACCCTCTTACATACAGCGTCCATGTCGATGATAGAGTCAATGCTTTCAGGCCCATCCTCCACGCAGCACTGGGAGCCAGGGCAAAAGCGGCAGTTGTCCAGCCCTTTGTAGCCCTTGTTGTGCCCACACTTCTCCAGCGTGACTGTGGTAGCCATACCTGACACACCCACATGTACCACCAGCTGCAGACAGACAGGCAGGGCTTAACAGGGTCTGTCCATAGGACTGGGGGGTCCTCCCTCCCCTGCCAAGGAGAGGTCAGCATCCTCACTAGGCTCAACCCTGGGTTACACTGTTTCTGACTTCTTGCTGCTGGAATATACCCTGCAGTCACTCTTGCAGAAAGGTATGCCAAGCGAAACATGCAAGGATGTGAAACATGCAAAGATGTTCATTAAAGCTTTGTTAATACAATCAAATAGTTGAACGACTTAATTAGCCATGTGTAGGGTTTGGCTAAATTATGAACTACTTATGTAGCTGTTAAAATGCCCAAAGAAATTCTATAAGGAATGATCTTTAAGACATATTGCCAAGTGCAAAAGACAAGGTATAGGAATCTAGCCTAAAAATAATGAAAGATGTAATAACCTTTTAATGGTCACTTCAGTGTTATTTATAAAAGTGAGAAAAACATGGAAACAAGTGGCACTCCCAATAATAGAATGGTTATTTACTAAAAATTACCCAGTGATTAAAATGTTTAGGGAGAATGTTTAATGACTATGTGATTAAATGCTCATGATAAAATATTTATAAAAAGTGGGATACCAAACTGAATACAGTTTAACATCAACTATCGATTATTGGTTTGTATGCTTATACACAGAACGGGCATGGTAAGAAAATATGTGAACATTTAAAATACAGGGAGACATGGACCACACATGTGGCTACTGAGCACCTGAAATGTGGCTGGTACAAATCAAGATGTAAAGTGTAAAACACACCAGATTTCGGAGACTGGGCACAAAAAAAGAATGTAAAATGTCTCATTAGCGATTTTTTTTTAATGTTGATTACATGTGATCAGAGCAGGAACAAAGCCACACAAATCATCCTGGTGTGGGGCGCCCACCTGCAGGTCCTGATGAGGAAGCACCTGCCTTCGCCCCACTCACCTGTGGGCTATGCTTCTCCCACAGGGCGGGGATGAGCCTCTGGACCGTCTTGTACTCGACTGGAATCTCATATACGTGCAAGTCCACACTGTCGCCAAGGCCCAGCTTCTCCAGCTCCTAGAAGTGAGAGCAGAGGGAGTGTTCTGGCATTAGGTGAGGGCTGCAGGGACAGTGGTTAACCTGGAGATAAACTGACTTATCCTCAGAAAACAGGTGGGGCTCCTGACACTGTGCAGAACATGGGATGAGTGTGCCAGTCCACCCCGAAGTTCCTCTCCCACCCACTCTCCTCAAACTCTGTGCACGTCCATGAGCGGTGGTATGATATTGCAGCCTCTGGTTTGAACCCACGGACACTTTACTTAACCTCTCCAAGCCTGTTTCCTCATCCCTAAAATAGGCATAAAAGAGTACTTACCCTGCAAGGTGGTTAAAGAATTAAATGAATGAATTCACAATAAGAGGTCCAAGCAATGCTTGGCACATTACAGGTGCTCAAATGACGTTGCCTGGTGTTACTAATGTTTTGGTTGTTTCACTTTCCCCTCTGTTACGCCTGATAAGAACTATAGACGTGGTGCGTGGCACATAGCAAGATCTCAGTATACATTTCTAGAGGGATCCAACTCCTTAGGGAGCGCCGAACCATACGGGGCACAAGGTGGTTTAAGAATGTCATGAACTATATACAAAAATGGGCTATAGATCACTGTGAGTATACTTTTCTAGGGAAACACTGAAGCTTTCCTCAGATTCTCAGTGTGCTCCACCAAGGGTCTGCCTGTTAACTCCTTGCAGGCAGAGGCCACCACCTTGCTGGCCTAAGGCACAGCACACAGTAGGCCCAGAATCAAATTTGCTGGAAGAATAGTGATTCTGCCAGCCCCAGTACCCAGAGGTGGGCAGAGATGTTTGGGGATGAAGGTTTTGGCTCAGTATGAAAATATGAGTATTCTTAGTAAATTATTCATAGTAAAATACTTCAAATAATGATTTAGGTAGGGCTGTTTCATATTATTCTCAGATTTCATGCAGTGGTTTTAAAATGCTACCACTGTCGGACATTATCCAGTTCTGTGGGCGGGTCCTAGGAGAAGCATTTTTTGTGACTGGCCTTGCTGATTTTGCTGTAGGTGAGTTCTTGTCTCTTGCAGTGGCTTCTATCCATGCTGTCCCAACTCTGCACCCAATCACTGTAGTTACTTTGGAGAATATCCGATGCCTGGAAAGGCAGGTCCCTCCTCACTGGTAGATAATTATAAACTTCACCTCAAAGAGGGTGCATCAGGTTACCTGGAGACAAGGACACTTTGAGTGTGGGTGGGGCATGATGGTGCATGGTGGGGATTCTCAAATGTCAACGCCAGGAACTGGGATCCTGTCCCTCTGGCCAAGCCCAGTGAACCAGGAAGGGCCCCCCTACCCTGAGAAATTCCACAGCCCGACAGATGAGGGCAGAGTGCAAACCTGCACCCCAAACACTGGCGTACGAGTGAACTGTACAGTGCTGCTGGGGCAGATAGCTAGAGAGACAAGAGGGCTGTTTTTGTGTACAACTGATTTTAAAACACTTAAAATATGCTAAAGAATAAGCTTTGTAAAATATTTCACTTCTCCCACAATCATTTTTCTCGGCCACTTCATATTTTCGCTCTTTGTGCTCCCTTTTCATCTAAGCCTCCGCTTCCTGGACTGTGCAAAGAGACCAGGGGGGACATTCTTTGAAGGGTTTGAGGATTTGTAGACAACGCAGGCACATGCTTGCCAGCGTGCAACTGCAATTTCTAGGCTACTGTATTGCTTTTCGCACATCAAACCCCTGAGAAGTGTTGGAGGTTTTAGATCTGTAATCACCATTTCAGCTCCCCAATTTCATAAACATTTACCCACGTTCTGCACACTGCACACCACAGTGATAACTTTGGCCAAACATAAACAGACCATCGTTTGCTTGAGGTTTGCTGGATATACCAGGGTTTTGTTTGGCAAACTGATTTGGAGACCAAGTCCCACCATCTCCCATCCCACACTGCCCCAGCCTCCTGACCCCCAAGGCAGAATCTAAAATCACATCACGCCCTTTCCCTGTTCCCACCCTGTTGTGGCTCCCGCTATGCTCAGAATAAGATTCCAAATCCCACCATGGCCCACAAGGCCTTTCGGGGTCTGGGCACCACTAACCCCCTTGCCTTCTTCTCCCGTCATCCCCGTTTTGACTCCTCCAGCATCAGGTCTCCCACATACCCGCTCACTCCCACCTCAGAACCTTAGCACCGTCTATTCTGTCTGCATGGATTTTTCTCCGTTCAGTTGACTCCTCCTTAGCCTTCGTGTCTCAGCCTCCTCTCCAGAGAAGACCTCGGGATGCCCAGCCCCCTTTCCATGCTCTCTTACCCTACAGGCTGGTGTCCTTGCCATGTGCACATGGGAGGTGCTTGTTGAATGTCAGCTAAACAACTGAGCAGCTCAAGCTTGGACTGCAAACACACACAGACCTAGGTGACCCTGCACACATACAGGACCCTCCTGAGGGTGCCTTGCCTTCCTCAACTGTAAATAGGTATTTGGACTAGCTGCTGGCTGGGACCCCTCTTTTCTACATGTAAAAATAGCTCCTCGCTATTCATAATCTCCAAAAATTAGAGAAAGCTCAAGTGTCCATCGATGGATGAAAGGATAAACAAAATGTGGGTTCCTCACACAGAAGACTATTACTCGGCCATAAGGAGTGAAGCACTGACACACTCTACAACATGGATGAAAACTGAAAATGATGCTGAGTAAAAGAAGCATCACAAAAAGCCACATGTATGATTCCATTTACATGAAATATCCAGAACAGGCAAATCCACAGAAAGCACATTAGTGGTTGCCAGGGGCTGGGGGGAGGGTGGATGGGGAGTGACCGCTCAGGGGATGGGGTTTCCTTTTGAGGTGATGGAAATGTTCCAGAACTAGATAAGAGGTGGTGGTTACATAACATTGTGAATGTGCTAAATGCTATTGAATTAAACACTTTAAAAATGGTTAGTTTTATGTATAAGTTTAATCTCAATTTTAAAAAAGTAGCTCTTAATTGCATGAATGGTGGAGGGTAGGAGGCAGGAGTGTGGCCTCCAGAGGTGACCAGATTTGTTCCTCCCCACATTCACTGGCTTTGTGACCTCAGGCAAGTCGCTCACCCTCTCTGTGCTTTAGTTCCCTCACCTGTAAACAGGATTAACAGTAGGGGATTAACCCACGTCATAGGGAGGAAAAACAAAATAATACACATGAAAGGCATGGCACCTAAAAAGCACTCAAAACATGCTAACTTAACTATATTTTAAAATGTAAATGTGCTTCCTTTAAAAAAAAAAAATCAAAGTAACTTCTGGCTAAAATGGAGCCATAGGATTCAGATTTACCCTTCTGTCTGGAACCACTGGGGGGAAAATAGACAAAATGTGTAAAATAATGTTTTAGTTGAGGAGTCAAAGCTGAGGTTCTAGAAAGGGTAAGATGGCTACAATTTGCAGGGTGAAGTCCCAGAGAGAAGATAGCTGGAGGGAGAGAGAGGAAAGAGAGAGGGAGAAGAGGGGAGAAAGTGCATGTGGTGGGGGGGAGATAGAGAGAGATAGATGAATATTGATCCACAGATCTTTTGAGGGTCCATGGACTGGTGGGCACATACATGTATGTTGAGGCCAGAGAGAGCTACTTGAAAGTATCAGAGGGACCAACCTTCAGAGCTCGCACGGGGCTAGAAATACTTGGTGTCCCCACCAGCCAGAATGGAAAAACATAAAGAAGTGGGGGAAAATTAACCCTGGGAGTAAAAACTGCTCTGGTTCTGCCTAACAAAACTTAACAGCAAGCCTGAAATCATGAAACTGTTTCCAGCAACTTAACAGTTAATAGCCCAGAACAAAGCTCAAGAACATTTAGAGGCAATACAAAAGTATTCAGCATGCCACAAGGTGAAACTCACAATATCTGGCATGAAACCGAAACTTACCAGGCATGCAAAGAAACAGAAAATTACCATCCAGAACAAGGTGGAAAATCAATCAATAGAAACAGGCCCAGCAACAACAGATGGTAGAATGATGAAATAGGCAGAAAAGGGCATTAAAACAGCATATTTTTAAAAAAGCCAGACAGATCAAGTTTGAAGCCACCTCACTCCAAGCCCAGGTCCCAGCTCCACACTTCAGAGGTGTATTGTTAACAGCGCAGGGAGACACACCCACTCAGATCTATACACACCTGAGAAAACACATAGTATTTATTTTTACATTAACTGTATCCTTTGGCAACTATGTTTTCTCCACTCAGCAGGTGGTTTTAAACATCTAGTTACATTGTTACATGTAGATCCTTTTCATTCCTTTTTCCCTGCTGCATAACATTCCATCTCAGAAATTAGCTGCTATACATTTAAACATTCTCCTACACTGGAATATTTAAGTGGCTTCTAATTTTCCTCAATTATATGCCATACTGCAGCAAACATCCTTGTGCACATTTCTTGCATAATATATAAGGCATAAAAGCTAAGAAGTAGCCTTGCTGCATGGCAGGATCAGTACCTATTTATAAGTGATACTGTCAAATTAAAGCTGCTTTCTGACCTCAGACTCAGAATATCTTAGAGACAGGGGAAAAACTTTAGGGTTTATAAATGAGTCTTCCCCTAATTCCTAAGAGGACACCTACTGAGCTCTTTTCTGTCTTAAAAACATATTCAATGACACCAAAAGCACAGACAATAAGAGAAAAAAAGAGAAATTAAACTTCACTAAAATTTAAAAAAAAAAAAACCCACTTTTGTGTAAAGGACACAATAAACAGTGAAAAGACAGCTCACGGAATGACAGAAAATATTTGTGAATCACATATCTGACAAGGGATCAATATCTGGAATATATAAAGAATGACTACAATAACAACAACAAAAAAACCCACTAACAACCCAATTTTAAAACAGGCAAAGGAGACAGACATTTCTCTAAAGAAGATATACAAATTGACCATTAACATACATGTGAAAAGATGTTCAACATGATGAGTCATTAGAGAAATGCAAATCAAAACCATGAGATGCCACTTAACATCCACCAGGATAGGTGTTTTTGGTTTTTTGTTTGTTTGTTTGTTTTAAGAAAAATAACAAGTGTTGGCGAGGATATAGAGAATCTGGAACCTTTGTGCACTGTGGTAGGAATGTGAAATGGTGCAGCTGCTGTGGAAAACAGTCTGGCTGTTGCTCCAAAATATTAAACACAGAATTATCATATGACTCAGCAATCCTACATCAAGGTATAAGCCCAAAAGAATTGACAGCAGGGACTTGAACAGATATTCATATACCCGTGTTCGCATTTGGTTAATGTTCACATTAACCAAAAGGTGAAAACAACTCACATGTCCATCAACCAATGACTAAACAAAATGTGGTATTTACATACAATAGAATGTTATTTAACCCTTAAAAAGGAAGGAAATTCTGACACATGCTACAACATGGATGAACCTCAAAAACATGCTGAGTGAAATAAGACAGACATGAAAGCACAAATACTGTGTGATTCTACTTATATGGGGTCCCTACAGAAGTCAGATTCACAGAGACAAAAAGAACAATGCTGGGTGCCAGGGGCTGGGGAAGGGAGAATGGGAGTTAGCGTTTAATGGGGACAGAGTTTCAGTTTGGGAAGATGAACACTTTCTGGAGATGGAGATGGTGATAGTTTCATGACAATGTGAATGTGCTTAATGCCACTAAACTGTGCACCTAAGAATAGTTAAGATGGTAAATTTTATATTATGTATATTTGACCACAATAATAAAATGACTTCGAAGAAAAATTTTAGATTATATTTACCTTCCTATCTAGCTAATTATAGATAAAAAGCAAATTTGATATAATGTTAACATTTGGGGAATCTGGGTATGAAGAAGACTTCTTTGCACTATACTTATTAACTTGTTAAAAAAATTTTTTTTTTAGTGGAATGGGGACAAAGTGGTTGCTTTTCCTCCCACCCCGCCACCACCCCAGCCAGGGATGAGAGGAAGTCTCCAGCAAAGGCTTCATTTTGGCATAGGGTAAATCGTCTCATCTATCCTTACACCCCATAAATCATGACCCCAGTTGTTCTTACCCTTCTGTTCCCTACTGCTTGAAATTTTCCTGCCCCTCTCCGCCCCCCACTCCCAGTGTCTTTTTCCAGTGGCCCTGGCAGTCTTTTCTGTCAACAGAAAATAGGTTGAAAGGCCAGGAATTAAAAGAATCCATCTCTTGGGCTGTCTGAGGACTTAAAAGGATCACCTTTGTTTGTTCAGAGTTTGTCAGAGTTGTCCCCAAACTGATTCCTTCACAAGACCAAGCAAATCAATTTGGTGGCACCACCTCTGAAGGCAGAGAGACCAAAGTTGCTCCTAAATTGATTAGTGACCAATCCAAGGAACCCTCTCTGGGGAACAGAAACCCTCCCGGTGGCCACCATGACATGTGATGTGTCAAGGTGGGATGCCTGGCTCAGGGTGGCAGACCCTCCCTACCAACACTCTCTGCCCGCTTCTCTAGCATTAGCAGGATGGCTATTTGCCCACGTTAAATCTTAGTGGTAGGAAATGAGCTGGCATCACCAGGGAGCCATGGGTGACTCACTGTCTTGACCTAACCTTTGCTCCTCTTGTCCTCTGGGTGCCCACCTAGCCCCTCCCCAACTGGGGGAAAAAACTCAAACTATCACTGTCAAAGATATGCACACACCCCATGGACAGCAGCCCCACAGCGAGGCGCTGAAGACCCTGATGGGAGCGTCCATGCTGCTTTATTCTTAGGGAGCAAACCCTGAAACCCCCCAATGCCAATATCAATGGGAGGAGAGGCGGAGTCAGGAAAAGAGCCAGTTGCTCCCCTGCACCAATGGAGCCTGAGCAAAAGCAACCAGCACACGAGGGCAGAGAGGCCGTGGTGTATGTTCAAGACCAGGCAAAACTCCTCCCTGGTGACGGACAGCAGGATGACAGCTGCTCCTGGGTAAGAATGGAGAGACAGGAGGGAATGTTTTGGGAGGATGGCAATGTTCTCTATCTGATCGAGGTATTGGAGACATGGGCATATTTTTCTCCAAAGCGATGAGGACACTGAAGATTAGTATGTGTCATTTCATGAAATTTAGTACCCAGTTTTAAAAAGAGAAATGGAAGGTGAAAAGCAGCTATAAAGTTTGTCTGAAGTTACGAAAATGTGTGGTCCATAATCTCATTAAATATGTTGCCCGTGAACACTTTCTATTCCAACAGGGCCAAACGGTTCTCTTGGGGGGCCGGCGGTGCACCCCAAGTCCCACAACACTTTGCAGCAAGTGCTGAGCACACACCGTGAAAGGAAGGGAATGGGCGCCCCAGACAGTGCATTGTCTATACCCTGTCTACCTGACAAGACCCTGCTGCGCGGCTGACCGATTCCCTTGACCCCACAACAAAGACCCCCTTTGTTCCCTGGTTAATATCCTTAGCAGGTCTGTCTAGACTCACTGTGGCAGTAATTGTCCCGTGATGTCACCAGGACCTGTGACCCGGCTCCTCCTCGGCCGCTAGGGCAGGGAATGCTCCAGACGGCCACAAGCCAAGGGAGTCTCAGTCCTTGGCACCTACCTGGGCCTCCTAGGAAAGCTGGTATCCTACACCACCTGGGAGAGATGGGACATGTGAAAAACATAGTCCCTCCTGCGAAAGGTGCTGAGGAGCACCAGCCTGGAGAAAGATGAAAGTGGGGGTCACTCCTCAGTCCCCACAACTCCCACCTCCTGAT